CCCCCCCCCCCCCCCCCCCCCCCCCCCCCCCCGAACCCCTCATTCAGGGATCGATGCATTCGACCAGATCCAGACTGCCAGGTTATCATCGCTGTCCTGCTTGTCTCAAGTTCAGGCATGATTCCAAGCATCTTCTCAAACATCAACATGGGAAACGAGTTGGTCTCTTGATGTCGGTCTCAGGTCGGTTCATGTGCCTTGCATTGCCATCACCTTCTCCCCGTTGACTTGGAAATTCATCATAATCCCATCACCATTTTCTTCAACGGGAGCTGATGTTGTTTATCACGGATTTCTTTCCAATATCGGGCATACATTGTTTGCTTTAGATGTAATTGTGTGGGGGTCTATCCAGTCTTCGGAGTCTCGGAACTAAGCAATGGGATGAGAATAGGAAACTTATAAACTTGACAGCAGCTGGAAGCCGTCCGCTTCTCCATATTCCCCCCATTCTTCCGCCCATTTTAGTACCACGGTCTTTATATCTTGTACGGGAATAGAAACAGACGGGATAAACCCAAGCCAGCATAGACCATGTTGGAAAGGCCCGTCTTATTGCCCGTTATCCACTTCTTCCCGTCCCTTCAAGCATTCTCTCCGCCTCCCCGTTTTCCCGTCCCCTCCCCGGCTCCGTCTAGTGTAGTTCTCCACCACTTATCTCTCCGTGTTGCCGTTTATATGACCGACCAGGGAATATCATCAAGGAGCCTGGACAAATTCCCGAGGCCTAGGTCTTGGGACGCGGCACAACGCAGTTACTCAACCACTCCGCTTTTTTTTTCTTTTCCTGTCTCCAATTGTTTCTGTCGTGGTCCAACCGGAACGGGGTTTCCGGGGGATGGCAAAAAGATATCGGGATCAAAAGTGTCCGAAAGCAGTGTATCTCTCTGTGTGGAAAGAAAAGATGAAAATTGTTGGACACACAACCTAAAATTGTCGTCCGAGTTGTACATTGTCCGACTTGATTAGGTATCAGGTATCTCAGCAGGACTACGGGGAAGAGTAACTCAAGGGGGGTAAGGGGTAGGTAGTTACTCTCTTGTCCATACATTTTTCTTCCAAGGGGGGATGTTTTTCATGAAAGACCCGAGGTTTGTCAACCTTGTGATCCTCGTGATGGGTTACCGGAAGTTCTGCTTGGACGAAAGCCGCGAAGGGCTAAAGTTTCAAACTTTGTGTGTTCGTCACTCCCACTACGTACCCAAGAAGATGTCACGGTACCTAGACGTCGATTCGGATGTGGGATTGCGGCTCAGCTGGCGTCGTTCGTAACGGGTAGTGATATATGGAGAACTCACTCAAGCCAACAGTATGTTGCAACCGGCAAGCCCATCTCTCGCTCTCAGTCAAACGAAGCCGCGGCCGCGCCACCGCCACCACCATCGGCGCCATGGCCGTGAACCGGCGACACAGGTTTCGAACCCTCAAAATTGTGAAAACTTGACATCGATTTTGTTGTTTCGCCGCGATTATGGAACTGCCATGTTCATAAAGGCGCCACCTACCTTGAATCACCAAAAACTTCAGGGTCCAAGCGAAACACACACTCAAGCCAAATCAGGCAACCGTTAAATTGGAGGGCTTGAAAGGTACCTTAGTAATATCGGTCAACTTGGTTAGCTCTTACCATCATCATCTACCGGTTGCATACTACATAGGTACATACTATAGGCGCGTTACTGCAGTCGGTCGGTATGTATCATGTATGCAGGCCCAAGATGCATTGCATTATTGGGTGCATCAGGATTACTTATACCCGCCAGTCACCATGCTTAAAAAGTAAAACATTTCAATGACAAGCAAGCAAGCAAGCAGAACGAAAGCATAACTTACAATACGCATGGATGACCCATGAGTCTATCAACCTGTGGCAAGAAGACATGACATGCATGTGCCCGTTGGCCGGACGCCGAAAAGTAACGGTTGCCCGCGGATCGAGCCGCGCCAGTTGGCCCACGCTGGCGAGGGTAAGCTGGCGAAAACGAGGAGTACCTGGGTATTCTTCTCTTTCGTTGATAAACTAAAGAGCGTGGCAATGAACGGGCGAACGGATTCAATCGCGATAATCCCAAAAAGTCTTGACAAGTGCAAACACTACCTACAACTATTATCTTCTTTACGCCTTGGTACCTTGATGTCATTTTCGTCACTCGTTGCGACGGACTTGAAAGAAAGCAGTGATGTCGTGGACTTGGCCTAGGGAATAGGAAACGTTCCACATCGTTTTCTTTTTCCCCTTGTGTTTCCTCGAGTCTTATTGACGACAGAAAGCTACATTTACGTGGATGGGCAGTTCGCATCCAGGTTAGGCCAGAAGACGATCGCATCATTTCCACACTACATACACCACACCAAACCGGAACTCGAACTCGTGAAGGTGGACCAACGAGCTAAACCGAATTCGTCGCAAGAGTTATCTTCACGGCCGAGTTGAGGTTTTGCAGGCATGGACATATCCAATGAAGGCAAGTTTCATTTCGCGAAAACCCCGGTTCATGCTTCAGATGTGCTGCGAGAGTGCTGCGTGAGTGCTGCGTAAGCGCCATGTTGTGTACTTCTTCGTTCTTCATCGTCCATGGTTCGCATTGCCAACGAACAGTTTCGAGACATTGCTCGACTACCCTAGGTAAGTGAACAGGATGGATGGATGTTCTTACTTCGGTGTGTAGTCGAGATGATGGCTCGAGCGGTTGACAGGGTCTTCTTGGCTTTTGTTTTTTGAGGCGCATCCGAGGACAGAGCAGCGACTTCGGAATAAAAATTAGGGACCGTCAATCAGAAAACAAGAAGACAACGAGGTCAAATTCTAGGTCGAAGCGAACCCGCCGTCATGGAAGGAGGGTCCAGGGGAAAGATGGGAAGAGGGGGAGGTCGGAATCAGTTGGCGTATTTTCTCAGATAGTCTACGTTGGTCTACGGGCGTAAAAGAAAGCCACAATGCCGGACTCCTCCCCGGCACGTCGTCTCTCCTTCCCCGTGTGGAGTAAGGTGGACAGGACATCCACATTTGGGGAAGCAGCAAGGGCCGGGGATGGGGAAGGGGGAGGGAAAGAGGAAAGAGGATTGGGGGAGTACAAGGAACTTGCACACAAAAAGGTACTTACACTATGTAGATACATGTCGGTACAATTGCTGCACATAAAAAGAGAGCAAGTGGTGAGAACCAGCCACCCGTCACCCGTTCAACTGTCTTGTTGAAACAAGGTCGTCGTCCAGCTGTCAACCAAGTGAGAGCGTCTACCTACCTAGAAATATGCACACCAAATTCGCTGCAGGATGCCTGGCGCCTGTCACTCACTTCCACTGCCAAATTGAATTCTTCCAAAATCCAATACCGGCCTCCAACTGCCGTCCTCCGACAATACGATTTCCATATGCCGCTGTCTACCGCCGTCAGCCGTTCACTGTCTCTCGATCTCCGCCGAATCGGCGCCGCGGCCTTTCCTTTTCAAGCAATTCGAGGAGACGGGACGTTTGGGGTTGCAATGCCCGGCATATCCAAACCGATTCTCAAATCATCAAATCGCAAAATGACGGGCATCATGACTCGCGTGCAAGTCGAGAACATCCACTGACTTGGGGTGAAGGTGGGTTTCAGTGGGGCGTCAACGGGCTGTGGTGGGGTCATGGTGGGGTTTTCCCCAACCTTTGTGGTGGAGTAGAATTGGAGGGCTACAGAAATTCGATACAATGAGGCGTTCACTTTGGTGACTATCGGTAGTTTTCTGTAGCAGATCCCATGTACGTAAGGCGGGGAAGAGCCCGATCCGCTTCAGAGGCGGGGCAACAGATGGAGGCTGTTCCTGGACTGAGCTTCTCTTTTTGGTGCAAGTGAACTTTATTCCCCCAAATGCAGGAACCGCTTTCATGATCGAACAATCACCCATTGATGCCTCGTGTCAAGGTCAATATCATCTCGACCATTCCAAGACAGACATGGAAAACACTTGACATTCCATAACAGTTTTTCTTTCAAGTTGTTAGCAAGCCGATGATCGGGCATCCTGTCACACCTCCACGATCAGATTCACCTTCCATCACCACTCACTTCCACACCACGACGATTCAGACAGACCCTTGATGCCGATCAACCTTTTACATTGTATACAACACCAGGCTTCCCTGACTATCGTCCAAGCCCCCTTCGTCTACACCATACACTCCGAGACTCCATCCTTCCCCATCAAGATCATGGCCTCACAACAGCAATCACTAACAACCTCGTTCCCGGCCAACGTGGACGACGTGGTTTCGGACCCTGAGTCTCTCATCCGTCTCCTGCGCGCCTACGACCCTGCCTTTGATGGCGCACAGGCGGTGAGAGCTGCCTACGAGGACGCTCTTGTTCGGCACCACAATGACATGATGGACCATGATCTGGATGACACCGATGACCATGACCACAGTCAAGCCACCTTCAGTCGCGGCCTCACGGGGAACGCCCTCGTCGACTGGGTTACCACCCATATCAGCTCAGACACTTTGCTCTCTGTCGACGAGATGGACCAGTAAGGCGCCTTATCCTGGACGCCACAGTCCCAGATACTGTATCCAACACCACTAACACCGACATCCAGGTACGCCGCCCTCGAACGGGCCGGGCTCCTGCCACACTTGGAAGCCACCCTTGCCCAGTCTGGTCTGAAACCCAGCGATCCGTCCAAAATCCCTCCCCTCAGCGATCACCAGATCAGAGCGGCCACCCAGGAACTCATGCGATCAACTAGTCTCATCACCCGCCAGACCGAGGCCCTGCGCGAGCAACAGGACCACCTCGACCGGCTCGTTGCCGAGCACAAGAGGGATACCCAAGCCAGGGCCGCCTTGGAGGTTCAGCAGCTCAAGGGGCTGGAGGAGCGACAGAGGGACTTGGTCCAGTCGGTGAGTTTTACTTTTTATCATGATGTCACCATAAACACATTTCGATCCATCCGAGATCTTCAGGGTCCTGATGACTTTTGAATATCTTCCGTCCATCGGGTTGACTCCGCCACTCACCGACTAACTGAGTAACAGGTGGTGGAACTAGCCCTGTTCCTGGGCGACAAGGTTGATGAACTGGAGGCCCAGAATGAAGAACGGAAAGCCGACGTCGAAACGCTGGTCGATGGCATGTTTCACTCGGATGACCATGTCTTGTCAAGTCTCCAGAAATTAGGGGACCAGTTGAGTAGGTCTTGTTCTGGCGAGGACGCCAGCAAGGCGGAGGAAGACATGGTCAAGAGTTTGCGTGACATTTGCGCCAGGTTAGTACACTTGTCCTTGACGTGATACATCAGGGTCTGGCACAGCAGGGAAGCTAATCTGCTGCGAGATAGAATGATCAAGTTCCACGTGGAAGGGATCAGAACGAGGTTGGATAGAATCTACCTCGAGACCCTTCATGCCGCGGTAGAGTCGGGGGCTGGGGATCATGGTAGCACCGTCACGGTGGAGGATGTCGCTGCTGTCCAGCGAGAGTTGGAGGAACTCTACACCGAGATCCTTCCAGTCGGTCAGATGTCAATCGAGCACCAGTTCTTGCGACCTGCTCTTGATGATCTAGCAGCCAAGAACGGTCGCAGACTTGAGCAGTCGACACAAGCAGCGCATTACGTGGGTTATCCGTACTTACCTCTTGTCAAGCCAAGCTAACATGTTCAGATCGACGAATGCCTCAATTACCTGCTCGACCGCATCACCACCATCCGCGCGTGTCTCCAAGAGTATCTGTCTCATCAACAAGCCGTCGCCGAGTTTGCCAAACTCGCACGACCAGGACTTAATACCAACGGCCTCCTCCCCAAAGAGTCGCCGGACTCAACATCAGCATCCCATCACCGCCGACACTCCTCGTTTCCCCGCCAACTCCCTGCTGACTCACTATCCCCGGAACTTAAATCCATCCTCCAAACCCTCGGCATTTCCATTCCAGTAGCAGATCCATCACTCCAATCCCACCTTTCCGCTCTTCAATCAGCTCTCGACTCCACCCTAACAGACCGCCAACAAAAGCGCGACGAACTCTTGTCCACCGCGCAATCAAGCTTTGAAGACGCGGTAACGAAGCACATAGGTGATGCAAAGGCTGCACTTGCCATGCTGAGGGACTCGGTGTTGGCGGACAGTCCGTGGGGAGCGGTGAGGTTGGTCGATGAGGAGTTGGAGGGGAGTGTGGAAGTTATGCGACAGGAGCTGGAAAAGATAGAAGAGTGGAAGGCAGATATTGATGGGGCTGTCAAGGCTTCTAATACTGACGAAAGGAGGGAGCAATTCTTGAAAAGATGGGGGGAGAGGCTATGATTGTTTCAGGGGGGATGGCTTGATGGGCATGACATGAACAAACTGGTATGTCACGAATGTAATGATATGATAATTTCCTATGGCAATGATGGCGATAGGATTGTTTACGGTTGATACGTTACTAGACACGATAGAGTCGGCCAAAATTCGTCCAAATAACGGAGTTGGTAGTGTTCACGATGAACTCCAAGGCATCTTGCACTGCCCTATCATGACGCTAACAATCACGTCTAAGATTTATTGCTCGAGCGCGTCCACAACATACATCATGACTCAAAGCGGTCAAGACATCTGGGCGTCCGTAGGCCAAGGTGATCACAGATCCAAGCCAAGATGGACATTTATTTTCATCATGCGAATCGGAACTTGCGCATTCTCCTTGGTCGCCATGTTGTTAGTGGCTGTGCTGTCCTTCATCATTGGCAGCTCGTGGGTTGTGTTTGGGCCAAGCCTGGGTGGATCCACGATCACGGCACTTGCGCTAAGTGCCAATGACGATGATATCACTGTGTCTTCATAGCCGATGCCCGATGGCATGTTCCTGCTTTTCGGCGTAGGATCGACTGAATGGTTCCTGCATATATATTTCTTCGATCCTTTTTGGATGGTTTGGTAGTATTGGATAAATCTTGCATACCGAATCATCCAACTGAACTTCAAGAAGACCTCCGTCCATTCGCGGCATCAACCTACAACACGACTTGCTTATCGAGAGAAACGACCACAGCAACAAAACATCATCCAGATCTACAAACGAAAATGGACTCCGTGAAGAGAGCTCTCGACAAGGGCATGGACAAGGCTACTAACCCCAAGGATGAGCGTACGTTTTTCTTTTTCTCTCCTCTCCTCTTCCCCTCTCTCCCCCCCTCCTATCCGTGCCCTTCCCCTCCTGACCTTCCCCTCTTGGTCATGATCACTACTATTTCCCATCACGTCCACATCACTTTCAATATCCATCCACCACCTTCAAATCTGCAAAATCCCCTGACCTCAAACCCCATCACTTCAAACTCCAAATCAGAACAACACCCAGTTCGAACAACCTAACCCAAACCAACCCAAAGCAAAGCAAACCCAAACCAATCTAAACAAAAAACAAAAACTAACACACAAAAAAAATGGACGCAATAGCCCAAGTCCTCAACAAATCCTCCTCCTCCTCCTCTTCACAATCCCAATCCCACGCACTCAACATCAACCCCAACCTCACCGACCGCCATCCTTCTCTGACGGGCAGCGGCGGCGGCGGCTTCGATCAGCAGCATCACCACGTCGTCGGGGAAATGCCGCAGCCGGGATCGGGCCAGAGGAGCGTGGGGTCGACGGGGGCGGGGATAAATACTTCTGGTATGAAAGCCCCTACTGCAGGTGCAGGTCTTTGAGCATCAATTGCGATGGTTATGCTTTGAGCGAGTGAGCGGGCGAGCGTGCGTGCGTGCGATACATTATCCTTCAGATTGGCGATGGACTTTTTTCCTTAGTGGGTGATGTTGTTTTGTTTGGGGTTTAGAGGGAGGGGGAGGGGGAGGGGGGTTGGAAGAACGGGGACATGAGGGGAGGGGGAGGGGGGGAGCGGAGGAGATGGGGATGGGGATGATGCTCATCCCCCAGGAAGAAAGAAAAAGAAAATAAAATGATGCCTTGTGTCTTTATGTGTTTTGGATTACTTCCTTCTTTCCCTTCGTCTTCTTCTTCTTCTTCTTTCCATTTTCTTTTCATTCCTTTCTAATTTGAGCTCCCTTTGGGCGAACGATTCGCCGATGTCTACACCTACGTATTGATTTATTTTTTTATTTTTTTTCTTTCAAAACAACAATCGACCAGAAGAAGAAAGGTCAGTAACTAACCAATCCACCACCATCATCAAAAAACGATACGACCGAACAAAAAGACCGTCGAGCAGTAAACCAACACGCACGCGATATGGGCTACGGCCCTGGTACCCAGCCATGCTACAGCGGGACTGAACCTCAGCTTGGTGGTTTGCACAGGGGTAGTGTTGGATCGGTGGGATCATCGGGGTCTGCAGATTCTTCTTCTGGTATTGTTGAAGGAGTGGGAATGGGGATGCAGTCGCATGGACGGTATGAGCATCGGCAGCCGAGTTTGCAGGAGCAGAGGAGGGGAGAGAGGATGGGGTGGGATATTGGTGAGCATTTTGATGTTTGAGTGTCTACCTCTACACTACGGGAGTTTGTGTGCTTTGGTTATTGATGTGTTAGTATGGGATCATGAGGGATGAAGCTGCAATTGGGTTTATGATAATGGGGAAGGGAAATGGGAGAGGACAAGGGGATAGGAAATGGGAAAGGAAAAGAGACAGGAAAAGGGAAAGGAAATGGGAAAGGGAATAGGACAGGAAAATGGAACAGGAAAAAGCAAACTTGTATGGACTTTTTTTTTTTACAAATTACCTCTACCTACTTACCTACCCGAGGCGAACTTCGAGTGCGATCGTCCCTTCCTAGAGATAATTCCGAGTTTATCTCACATCACATGACATCCATCTCTTTAAAGGATAATCAAACTCTAGCGTAGGGGAGGTATCATTCCCAGGTTCCCCAACGCTGGGTCGCCGGGCAAGTTCAAGCCTGCCCCTGCCCACCGCCGACGAGCACAGCAGCAAACCTAACCGAAATCAACATAGCAGGCTCCAATTTCACCAATTGAAGGGGAAGAAAGGTGCACCTTTCATCATTAGTAAAAGCAAGTAACTGAATAACAGCTTGCCATACGAATCTGCCTTGCTTGTCAGGTACCTCTAGTAAGCACCTAGGATTATCAATCACGGGGCTTTACATGTACCGCCCCTGGCACTGGTACTTTGAAGATGCCGCTTTGTTATATACCTAGATCTGCCAACCGCAGAAGCTCATTTTGACGTTAGTTCATTGCCTTCTCATTTTTATTGAAGCCATGCAGGTATTTAAACAAGAAAATAGGAATTTACTACATGTTCCGTAGTAGATTATTCGTAGGTGCTATAAGCCATATTGGCATTTCGACGTTTCGTTAGTGTCGAGTGTCTAGTATTGTGATTTGAGTGCATGTTTTTTTGGTAAGGACTGGTCTCCAGTGGGATTATCTACAAGCTTATTAGGGACTAGTGTTGGCGGTTGCAGTTTCTTCCAGCTACTATAAGGGACTCGTATATAGAGGTGGCCCGTATGTTATGTTGTGAATTTCTGGTTCCCAAGCTATTGCACCAAGCCCCTGGCACCAGCAATCCCGCGCTCGGCTTCCAGCTCGTCGTATATGACCAGCTTTTGGAGGGGGCTCAGCTACTTTAGGATTGGGTGAGAGAAGGGCAGAAGTAGAACGAAGGAAGGGATCGGGACAATTGCGCCTGCTGGATGATAGGTACCTACCTAAGTACCTGAATGGAGTACCTGGAGGTCCTGAAGCTGGTAAATTGTGTCAGACTGGACCCGAAACCGAAACGCGAAACCGAATGTCGCGAGTGTGGTGAATACCTCTAGCAGATCTCAACCGACGATTACCTCTGTGATCCGACGTGTACCTACCTTATGATGCTGACCTAGAGGTGCACGATGGTCTCGCTTTCACGAATTGTCTTTGTCCTAACATAGGTACCTACCTCTACCATGGTTTTCCACAAGAATAGAGGTGCCTACCAGTAAATACTTTCGGCTGTGGTGCAGTCTCAACGCTGTTCTTATTCCTCACGACCAGATGGCCTGGCCCATGCATGTATGCTTGTCTGTCTATAGTTCTTTCTACCTACTACCCTTTAATTTTGTTGCCGTGAATCAGTGTGTCCAATATGAAGTGTTCCGTTATCCAGATTCCCTTCTCGCCCCACTGGGTGAATATTCCATGAAATTTAGAGATACATGAATACCTAGGCTATGATGATGATACTTCGCTGGCCTTCAATTTATGCTCATGAACGCTTTTTCCTTTCATATTCCTATCGCATGTCAGGTATCCAACCCCAGAGCAACCAACCTATGCGCTACTTCCCGTCCCTTTCTTCAACAACGATTTGAGCAATCCCTCGGGCTTCTGTGATCCCTCGGGCTTCTGGACCCCTCTAGCCCCCTTCTGCGTAGAGGTAGAGGTAGGTTTCTGGACACTAACCGTTCTCATTTGTCCCGTGTTCATCTCCGTTTTCGACCTCTTCTCCGGCCTGGTTTCCGTCCCTGGGCCGGCGGTGGCGGCGGCGGCCGCCTTTCGCTTGCTGCTTCCGTTGTTGATCCACTCACTAGCAACACGCGGAGGACCAACACTTGTGCCGACTTCCGCCATCTTCGCTGCTGCTGCCGGCGCTCTTGCTCCTATATTTGCGGCCGTAGCTTCTCCTCTCATATCTCTACTCCCTAGAGGTATTCCACTGGCACTGACACTGACACTGACACCGGCACTCCCTCCCGTAGCACTACCTCCTCTTCCACTCCCTCCAGCTCCAAGTCCAACTCCAGCATCACCCTGCCCCTGAACCTGCCCCCTAGAGGTACTCACCCCCCTCTTCTCTTTTTCTTGTTCCCTCTCCATCTCCCTCCTCATCTCCTCCCTCTTAATTTCCTCCCTCCTCATCTCCTCCCTCCTCTCCCTTTCCCTCTTCATTGTCTCCCTCTCCGCCACCCACTCCTCCCGACTCAGCGGCCGTCTCTGCACCTCCCGCCCACTCACAAACTGCTTCGGCGGTCGACTATCCGGCAACAGCCTTTGCAGCTCCATGCGCGTATTGAACTCGTCATGGAACGCCAAAGCCAGAGCGGGGTCGGTCCGGAAGATGTGCTGGAAATGGAGGTTGTGTACTAAGATCCGATAGCGGTCGTAGTTCTCGGGGCTGAGGTGGATGCCGGGGAGGAGGTTGGGGATGGCGACACCGGGGAAGGGGACACTGGGGAGGGTGGTACTGGGGATTGCGGTACTGGGGAAGGGGACACCGGGGATGGTGGTACCGGGGATTGCGGTATTGGGGAAGGGGACACCGGGGATTGCGGTACTGGGGAAGGGGACATCGGGGAGGGCGGTACCGGACAAGGTAATACCGGGGATGGCGGTAGCGGAGAAGGGGGAGGGATTGGGATTGGGGGTTTTGGTGGATGTAGAGCTGGAGCGTTGGGTTTGGGTTTGGGGTGGGATATGGGATGAGATATGGGATGGGAGGGGGGACCAAAAGGCAGGGGCGGAGAAGGAAGAAGGGGGATGCAGTTGTGGTGGTCGTAGTTGCTGTAGTAGGTTCTGCAACTGTTGCTGTTGCGGCAGTTCTAATTTTTTGTTTTGTTGAAGGAGTGCTACGAGTTCTTGTACTTGGTGCATCAGGTGCAGTTGTTGCTGTTGTTCTTGATCTTCTTGCTGCTCTTGGGATTCTTGCTGTTGAGGCTGTTCTTTTTCTCTTTGCTCTCCTTGTTGTCCTTGCTGCCCTTGCTTTTCTTCCTGTTGAGGCTGGTTTTGCTGTTGTTCTTGTTGTTCTTGATGTTGAGGATGTTGAGGATGTACCTGCTGTACCTGCTGTAGCTGCTGCACCTGCTGTTCTGGCTGTCCTTGCTGTCGAGGTTGTTCTGGGTGTGCTTTCGGCTGAGGCTGTACCTGCTGTTGCTTCTGTTGAGCATGTGGACGTGGTGGTTGTTGCCGTTGCGGGCCTTGCCCTTGCCCTTGTTGTAGCAGTTGTAGTAAGCCGAGTTGTTGTAGGCGGTAAAAGTAATGCAGTTGCTGTTGTGCCAACTGTTGATGTTGTTCCTGTGTTACGCCATGTGCGTGTCGTGGTTGTGACGGCAGTTGTCCCTGCTGTACCGGTGGTGGCAGCCAGAGTTGTCCCAGTTGGCGCATGTGATCCAGTTGTTGCTGCCTTATCTGCTGTAACAGTTGTTCCTGCTGGTGGTGTGGGGTGCGTTCGTGTGGTTGCTGTTGTTGTGGTGCTGGTATTAAGCTAGGTGGTGGTTGAAGCGGCGGGAGCTTGGTACTCGCGGGGAGAGCGGTGGTGTTGGCTGTGTAGACCATGGGGTTGATACCAACGGGGAGAATGGATGTGTGGGCCAGAGGTCTCGAAGGAACGGTCGAGTCGGTGTTGCGTGGAGGTGCCAAGATGCTGACGGGGGTTGGATATGGCGGCACAATGTTTGGAGGCGTGTTGGTGCTTGTCAAAGGCCTCATTGTTGAAGCAATTACTGGCGTCTTGCTGGTGTCAGTTTCAGGCTTATTGAGGTGGGAGGAGCGGGGGACAGCGGTTGAGCGAGGGACTGCTCCGGGTCCGCCCACGTTCCTGTTCGCTCGTGCGTCCATCTTGGTCTTCTTGTCTGTGAGTAAGCAGAAGCGATAGCGACGGTCTGTCGGGTACTCACATGTATTTCAATTGTAAGCTATGTGGTCGATAAAGCTGGTAGGTAGCTGATGTGGAAGGCTGAGGAGAGGGCAAGGCGATGGGTGTGTTGGAGGTTCCGGTTGACCTTATCAGAAATGCAAAGTACACAACAACCTGCCTGCTCCTCCTCCTTGCTGAGTAAGTGAATGGGGGTTTCTAAACCTGACCAATCTTCGTGTCAAGGTTCGGTGCCAGTTGAGGCCAGGTGAAGAGAGTGACACATTGGAAAACTGAAAGCTCGATGGATGGTCGGGTTGAAGAAGGCAACGGCAAAGGCAGCTTTAGCGACTAGCATTGCATGTGCAGATGTGGTCTACGCCCCAAGACCATGTGTTCGGGTCCTGACTAACGAAGTAGACGCACGTGCTGTGCATGTAATGTCTTGCAATACAAGTACTGTATTGCATCAGGAAATCCGGATTCCAGGCCAGGCATTGAACGCAGGGCTTTGAGTCTGCCAGTTGCATTGAGAAGCATGTGTGTGGTTGTTGGTTTATGAACCAGATCTGTAACCCTGCGTTGCCAACTGTGCTGTAAACCGGGTACCCGAGATTGTGCGATACTTATATTGTCTGCCTCTGCTACATGCCGATAAGAGCAGTTTACGGGGCATTCAGTGACGAAGAGGAAAACCTTGCATGGACGAGTCCCGTACCTATCATGACCTCCAGTCCTCGCTTGCCTCCATTCAGCATCAGATTCACTCATGAAACACATATAGGGAAAGGCAAAGGGAATCTGGGTTTTCAAGCCTTGGAACGAGCTTGTGACTTGCGAGTGAAAGAGAGAAATGGAGGAATCAAGCCGAGGAAGTGGGAGAAGGAAACAGGCAGAGCAAGGAAATCACGGCTACACTTTGATTCTAAGAAAACCGCCGGTAGCCATCACCCACTACCTCCTACGGTCCCAGATATACATCGCTCACTCGCGGTTTTGCACCCAATCTTCCTTCGCCGTGTGCCATGTGCCATCTGGCCGCCACGCCCGCTGTTGCGTCTCGAAGGAAATCAAGGTCAAAGGAAATCTTGGTAGATAGGTAGGTGGGTAGGTAGGTAGCTGAAACACATCCTCAACAGAAGATGCAACAAAACCCTCCATCATATAAATCCTCCTTGAAGCAGCAGCATCATTTCACTCTAGGACAACACAATGCTCAATGTACCATGATGAGATGGGTAAGTCAAACCCGTGAGCCAGGTCACTAGCGATCGCTGACCACACTGTTGCCCAAGACAAAGCTTCATCGCTTTGTCTCTTGTGGTTCATGCTCGGTATTTGACAAGGGGATTTTACTTTGTCTTGCGACCACAGTAGCGCACAGCTCAGAGATCTTGGAAGATGGTACATACGACAAAGGATGGGATTTCCAGGGAATGGACAACAGACAATGAAGAAGAGACGTGGGAATGGGGAACGAGGACAATGGATCCTTTCCTGGTGGAAACTGAACAAGGACAGGACAGGGAGGTAGGTAAACAATGGAGATTGTTAGGTACTTACTTCGCGACAATGCAAGACTTTGCCGAGGACAAGAGGCCGAGCCGAGTGGGTGGCGCTCAATGATCATGGCATGATTCATTGTTTTTTCTTTGATAACAGTCGCTACCAGAGGCCCGAGGGAGCTATGTTTGGATTTTCGATACTTCTTCTTCGTCGCCGAAAGACGGATTTAATACCTGCGACCATGGCCTTCATACCGCGAGCGACTGGAGTGTGTTTCTGTTTCCTATATTCGGTGAACATCAGTAGCGGCAGCTGAGTGTCGACTCGGACAGAAAGACAACGGGTGTAAACGACGACGAGAAAATAAGAGAAGCAAGAAACAAACCCAGAGAGAGAAAACAAGCAAGCAAGCAAGGTGTAAATAATCATCTCCAGCCTCACCCACTTTCGTGACAGCGATCACCTATAGCAACCTAACCTAGCAAGGATTCCCGTATCCTTGAACCTCACGCAAGCACCATGGAACCCAACATCCCCAGCCACGACGACCCAAAGTCAAACTATCCGGCCCAAGCCCAAACCGTTGACTCGTGGTCTTCGGGCAATGGCGATGAAATGGATATAGATCTGATAGATCCGGCCTTGGACGACTCATACCCTTTCGACACTCCTAACCCTTTCGACAATCCTAATCCCGACGACCCTAATCCCTCTCCTTCCCTTCCTCCTCCTCCTCCTCCTGCTCCCCCTGCAACACAACCTCTGCAACCACCACAGGATCAACCTCGTATATCCCTTGAGGTAATGCAGCGTATTGAAGCCAACATCGCCAGGGTACAGGCTGCACTCAATGCCATGGGCGCAGCCCAATCCCAGCACCAGAACCAAGATGCCCCTTACAACGCCCCTTCCACGCCTCCCAACAACCAGTCCATTGCTCCCAAAACACCCGCGGAAGGGGAACAAGGCAGCAAGAACATGATTCAATCCAGCCCCGTTGTTGACTTTGACGACCTTTTGGAAAGTCTCAAGAAGACTCTTGACAACCTGCCCGACGACGACAACGACGATCCTTGTTCTGTCACTCTTCCACGTCCGAGACCCAATGATATCTTGACGGTCCATGATCTCTTCACCCTCCTTCGTGCCGCTCCACCCAAGGTAGGATGCGTCATTCCCAACTCCGAGAGACAGATCTGGTACCGACCGACTCAAGCGGATTATGTGGAGCTGAATCAAACCGGCAGTGTGGCGGATATTGTACAGAACTACCTCCGCAAGCCATCGTACTTGACGACCTACTTGAGCAACGCATGTGGGTGGATGTTATGGTTCATGTATGACAAGACTCAGTGGTGTACTTGCCGGTATGATGCCGAGAACACGAGGTTCGTGAGGGGCAATGAACCGCCGGACGGCAATGGAAGTGGCGCCTTGGTCGTCGGATACAGGACGCCTTGGGCTCCAATCTGTAATGGTTGTCGAGGAGATAGGAGTGTGGAGGTAAGGGTATTGGACTATCTGGCCAGGTGCTTCAGTTTCCCGGTTCCTGAGGGGGGCAATATTTTGGATGTGATAGAGGCCAGGGTGCAGGCAGAACGGTTCCAACAAGCTGATGTTGCCGGGCCATGGACGCCGAATGGGCCTCCACCGGAGCCAGAAGGTGAGGCTGAGATTGAGCTGTCGGCTAATTCCAAAGCTTTGTCTCGCAAGTTCCAGAGTCTGCTTCAGGGGTTTTCGGGCAGGGCGTTGGATGAAGCGAATGCTGCAAGAAAGCCGAAGCGCCGACGTTATGAGGGAGAGGATGAAGCGGGCGAGAGCCACAAGCGTCAACGTGTTGAGGAGAAGCGCCATCGTCTTCCTGATGGATCCTTTCTCTATGATCCCTTTGTTGATGGTGCATCGGTTGGCGTTCCTCTTTCTGGTGGTGATCCTTTCGGTGGTGCTGGAGATGCCATGATGCTCGATGAAGATGATGATTGGCCTCCTGTTGCTGCTGCTCCTCCTCCTCCTCCCAGCAGTCCCAACGCACCTTACGTCGCCACCGCCAACAACCAAACTAACAACAACCCGCAGCCTCCCCAGCGACCACAACAGCTCCAGCGATCCCAACGATCTCGGCGACCTCGAGTTGCGAATCCCGAGGGCATCCCACCCAGAGCCACGGCTGCGGATGCCCATGCACGCCTTGCCGCGGAAGGGAAAGAGTATCCTCCGTGGCCTGTGGACCTTTTGCCGGGGCAGCATTGCAATAATTGCAAGAGCGTCAGAATGAAGCCAGCCAAGGAAAACACGAGAAAATGTCAGAAATGCATAGACACGCACGCCAAGATACGTGAAATCAACCGAGAGCGCGGCTACTGTACGAACATGGGGTGCAAGCAGCATCAAGGGATCCCCAGACCATTGAAGGAAAACGGAGAGCCGTTTGCCTACTGTCCGCAGTGTAGGGAGAAAAGCAACCAGAAACATGCTGCTAAGCTGAAGAAGGCCAAGAAGGGTCAAGATGGGGGTGGAGGAGGAGGAAGTGAGCAGGGAGATGGTCAAGCACAGGCAGCGTAGCAAGTGTATGGAGTCCAAATATTAAGAGAGAGGGAAACGTCTGAAGATCAGATCCAGACACAGGTAGGTATGTAATTGGGTGTGGAAGTAAAGATATCCTTGAAGAGAATCGATAGAAGTGTCAAATTGACGGTCTGGTGCCATGATGCCCTTTGTGCGAGCGTATGTAAACTCTGAAGGTCATGACTTGGGTCTACTGTTGCCTGCTCGTCAGGTCTTCAAAACCGAGCCTCAGACTAGCGGGCGAGTTTGGGCTAGTAAAGAGCTGCTGTAGAGGTCCGAAGGTGTCGGGGATTGTTCAGTCAGGGCTACCGTGGGATGACGGGACTGGATCTTTGGTGTCAGCAATCATACATAACCCTTCTTTGGGGATGTCTTGTAGTGTAACTGACAGCTTCCACTTACAAATTCGTCACAGCCGAGGTTTGGGCAGTCAGAAGCACCGACCTCACTTGAACGGCCTGTTTTGGAAATGATGGAATGTAAAAAGGAGATCAAATAACCTAAAAAATAAAATAAAAAGACCTGGGGTGAGAAACCGAGCAGATCCATCTCAACGTAAATCATCCACACCAAGATGGGAATGTGGATCTGGAAAAGAAGAAGTGGACGCCGTGGTCGGTCTTGCGGCGGCCAGAAACTGCACATGTCCTGAAAATTGAAGCAGACTGCGGAAAGCTGAGGGGAAAAGGCGATGTCGGGCAGATTTCGAAATGACAAACACCTTGAGTCCCTCTTCCTACAGTCACTCCTCCATGTCAAATATCCTGAAATGTCGTGGATTGTCACTGCCTGGTTGTTATTGCCGATGTTGGTGAGGAACAAAGTCATAGATGAGGTCGTCATGGCAGTGAGTGAGTACAGCAGCACAGACCACTGCAGCCCAGTTGCCTGCCCGCGGAGCCATGACTGTGATGAAGGAATGACCATCCCGGCAGGCAGGCAAGCACCGTGCTTCATGTCTTTCATCGCCATCAATATCAATATCAATATCATTGTCAATCTCAACATTATCCTCACTTCCCGCGCGCTGTCGGTCATCGACTTGTTTTCATCGGGCCGGAATCTACGTACGTTTCACTATCGGTTGCAGACTGGCATTTTTTGCCCCTTCTATCCAGCAGCTCTTATCGGTATCGCAGTCGCAAATTTCAGTGGCACTTTTCACTTTCATCATCAAAACCAGCCATGTCAACATCACCCGGCTCGGCCAAGAAGCGCAAGGCATCCGACATGGCCGACACGGATTCCGACCCTCACCGGCGGCCGGAAAAGATCCCTGCCTCGCCCAAGCCAAGATCCATCATGGACTTGCCCCCCGAAATTGTCAACCAGATCTTCGACCATCTCATCCCCAACCTGCCCGAGATCGACGAGCCGGCTCCAGAAGCCTTCGACAAGCTTGTTCGCGAAGACCCATGGTACAACTTTACTCGCCGTCGCAGCGCCTTGCGCAACCTCTGTCTGGTCTCGCACTTCTTCGCCGACCTTGCTCGCCCATATCTCTACCACACCATCGCCATCACCAGCGAAGAGGTTTTGGTCTTGCTCTTTCGCACCATCACCGAGAATCCAGACTACTGTGGTTGGACCCGCTCCCTTAGCTGCCACCTCACCCTGACCAACAGCCGAGTGGTTCGCAAGACCAAGCGCTGTCTCAACAAGCTTCTTCCCACCTGGCGGGAAGGCAAGGGGCTGGTATTCATCACCGGCTATCTCGAGAGCCTACAAATGCGGCGTGCCAGCACGGATCCGGACGAATACTACGAAATGGCCCAAGGGATTCTCGGCATGACCATCACCGCCCTGTACTCACTCGAGACCCTGCTGCTGCAGCTGCCTGCCATTGACCATGACCGCGATTACTTTGAACTGATCAGCTGTCTCCGAATCACAATGTCCTACTTCAACACGGAAGCGGGCGAAAAGTGCCGTCGTAGCTATCTCTCCATTCTTCCCGAAGATGTCAGGTCCATGATCCCCGACCGGCTCGAGTCCGCGGCCCTCACCCCCTTCCAGCACCTCACCACTCTGCTCCTCCAAGGCGACCCGTCCGTCGAGGACCCTACCACGCTCGACGACGACGATACCGATGACGGCGACCCTCCCGAAGTCTTTGGTGTTCAGACCCGCCACTACCACCCGCTTTTCGAGCTTCTTCCCGCTCTCACTACCCTCGAAGTATCCACTGACGACGGCCTATTTACCTTTCTAGACGGCGAGGAGGGCTTGACCGATGTCTTCGCCCGTCCCACCAACTCCTTTCACCTGAGCCCCACAAGGCATATCTACCTCCACTCTTCCGTCGCCGACCCGCGCAACATCGGCAGGATCCTCCGACATGCGCCCGACCTCGAGACGCTCTACATGAACCCCCGCAGGGTCGACAGCTTCCACAGGATCCCCCCGCAGGACGCAGCCCAAGCAGACGAGGACTGCCTAGACCAAGCGCTCTCCAAATACGGCAAGAAGCTCAAACATTTAGACCTCAACTGGTTCGACTGCCAGGGTTCCGAAGCCAGCATCGGCGTGGGCGGACGGCTGTCCACGCTTCCCCAGCTCAAGGAGGTGGAAAGGTTATGCATCCAGCTTGTCATGCTGTACGGGGACCTGCCAGCAGGCGAGCACATGATGCACCAAGGACGGCCCGTGGCGGATCTGTTGCCGCCCAATCTGGTCGAGCTGACGCTGGAGGACTGGTGGTGGGACAGCCTCGATGATTTCGATACTTTTTACCGCTGGTCGGACAAGCAAAAGAAGGAGCATTTTCGGGAAAAGGAAGGGTACAGGGAGACGGTGCTGGAGATGATGAAGGGCTTGGCTTTGGTGGCGGGGAGGAACGCAAAACCACCCGGTCATGGCGAGAGTAAGATGCATAAGTTGAAGCGGTTTCGGTTCTTTATTAGGACGTTGCCTACGTGGTTATTACCAGGTGATGAAAGGGGCCCGGATGCGGATGTGCAAGAGCTGTTTGAAAGCGTTCGGGAGTTGTTTGAGAAGGCGGGGGTGGAGTTTGTCGTTGAGGTTGACCAGCCGCTGGAAATGGAAGAGGAGATGCAGTAGGGTATGTAGGTGTAGTTTGCACAAGCTCACGTGGAAGTTGTATACCCATCTCTTTGCCCCATGGCGATAACTTTGCTATACCTAGGTACGGCTTGCTTCCTTCACTGCTCTTTCAACGTAGGCCCTTCGCAACCTACCCTATCCCGCCTTGAAATTTCCCAAGCTATCATTGATAGCCAAGTAATACCATACTAGTAGTACAGCAGCATCTCAGCAGCAGCTCAAAAAGAGACGAAATATTCCAATGACCAAAATAAAAGTGAATTGAAAGCGCAGTCATAGATATTGGTCTCTCAACCGTCGATTAGGTAGGTAGTAGGGTATCCATAGACAGAATAGATAGGTGGTAGGTAAAGAAAGGCTTAGATGTCCACCTAACGCCAAGAAGCAACGCACTAACACACCTCAACCTAAATTGCTAGGGTGTCTGATAATGCAGCTTCACGCCCCGCTTGTGAACCATCCATCCCATCCGGCATCGGGATTTTACCCTGACTTTTCCTTATTTACAAATTCGCTTACTGCGTGCCTATTCGGCGCAATTGATCACCATATATATCTACACTACCTACCTACGTAGGGTGTGCCCATTTCCTCCAGTGTAATTTCGACTCAAAGTCGGAGGCGATGTCCGATTTAACCAAACCACGCTGTACGTGTACGTGTAGTGTACCTGGCGGCGGTGACTTGAAAGCGGTCTAGGTTTTTAGTAGAGGTAGGTGCCTAGTTGGCGCGGTGCCTAAAGTATCACACCGGACCCCCCCCTCGATTCCCGACCGTCAACAACAACAACAACAACAACACTACAAGATCATCGTTTTACCTGTCATTAGACTTGATACTCGAAATTGTACTAGTATATATAATGTCCACCCTTAGTTTCTTTCACAGGAGTTTATTTTTCCCTTTTAGGATGGCTACGTAGGCGCGTTTGCTGTGTGAATGGTTCTTGACTTTGGCTTTGTAAAATAGCTGAGATTGGGGTCGGTTGTTTGGACTACCTAGACCAATTGCGGTTCCGGAATTCAGCTTGTCCAAGGAGAGTTTGTGTGCATTCAATATCTTCTACAGTACACAATTTGATCCTTTCTGCATCGGCAACTCCTTCATCCCACTACACAAGGGATCATGATAGTAGGTATTATAATGTGTAGTGTATGTATCATGTGAACAAAACAGGCAAGTTGCTTAGTACGTACCTATGTTATATTCTTACAAGTATTTTCCGAACCCGCACTCATCACCCACCTGCCCACGAGCCCGTCCGTCTTTGTGCCCTCCAATGAAACAGGATGGACTAGTGGATGGTGAGTACCTTAAACCTCCGGGGAGACTTTGAGAAGGATTCCGGATCTGGGGGGGGGGATTTCATCCCATGTTATGGCTACCTAATTCAGTTCACTGACACGTTAGAAAAGAAAAAGGGAGGCGAGACAAAGGAGACATGAAAGGCATGGCAAAGCGTGGCATCCATCCATCCATCCCGCACATGGATGGCATGGCATGTTTATGGTTGGTCGCGTGCCTGATTGCCTGTTCGTGGTGTGCTGACTGCTTGGTGGTAAGCGCCAAGGGTACAAATGATATGCTGTATGCTTCCCCGGCGGCGGCTGTTTTGTTTTGGTCGTTGGTGTAGTGTAGTAGTGTAGTAGCGTTGGTGGCAAAGCCAAGCGCCAGCTTCGTTGTTTTTCATCTCTGGGTTGTGTGTGTGTGTGTGTGTGTCGTGCAAGATAAAAAAAATGATGATTCCTTGCACACGGGCGAAAATCGAAATCTCCGGACCGGTTTCATGTTGTTGAAGTGGGACTTGCCGGCTTTGTGGACTCTTTTACCTCTTTGGGGAATTATTTTACCGCACGTCATTTGGATTCCCGTCTGGGAGATGTTATGAGGACTCCGCATCTCTGGTGTATATAAGTCCGACGCACCGCCCGTAGTTAAACCCACCAAAAGAATGAGGAACAAACTCCCGGACAGACAAGACAATTCTTTACAAAAAAGGGGTAGAAAATCAGTGGTTCCTGAATTGGAAGATTGGCTGTAACCTTGATGAGCTACTTGGTGGGGTCGGTTACGCGGCCCGGGGTGGGGGGTTGTTCGGGGCCCGGACGGGGGGTCAGTTCACATTCCATCCATCCTGGGGTTTGGATGGAGTCCCTTTTGGAGACGACATGGCGCCAAGCGGACTGAGATCGACCAGAATGCCAACGATAATGCAGTAAAGCGGTCAGCTGAGTGAATTTCTGCCCAGCGATGATCGATAGTCCTGAGATATTTCCTCCTCCGCTTCCATTGTCCATTTGAGGAAAACAGAAAATGATGGGCAAAAGATAGGGGGTTGAGGATTGATTATTCACAGCTGACAGATTATCCAGGGTTTTGGCTGGTTTGATGATGGATCCAATTGCGCCTGTCGATGCGGTGCTGTGTAGGTAGTCTTGTCACTTGGGATTGTTTGTTAACCGACCGTGACACATGTGATTGAGAAAGCGATAGCTGGTCGAGATACATATACAAAGTGGAATGATACATTAGACAGAGGACTGAAATCCGGGGTTGGGAGACTCCCTCCCGTCAACGTGGAACGATGGAACCCCCACGAATAGCAACAGTGAGGCGTGTGTTCGGTCTCTTGAGCAGCATTATGCTCCCCTGGTGAAACCGGCAAGGACGGCATCCTGTCGACTTCTGTGATTGATGGAAGGCTTCCCGAAGCCCAAAAGGCTGACGAATCCTCAAGCCAAGCATCCGTCGTCTGAAATGATACGGAATTGATGAAGTCGAAGGGGGTGCGACACTGTGTGAGCCCAGACCGCCACTTGAACAGAGCACTGTGGTAATTATTCGCAATTTCTCAGGGCAGCTGCATCCCCGTAGTGTACACTACACTACTGACCTGCTGGATTGTAGTGTACCGACTGTGCTACTACCACTACTGCAAGGAACACAACACTCAGACCTCCCCTCGTTGTTGCCTGCCGGGACCATTTCATTCGGTGCCTGGCACAATCTAAGGGAATTCTATGAGAGATTTCAACAGTGAAATGCCCCTTCTTTTCCCCCTCCAAAAACTGAACATCAAACAAGTCGCCAGTCATATCCAGTCGGTGAGAAAACCACCACATCACCAGCACCCTCATCATCGAATCGACAACAACTACTAGCGATCCAATGCTGCCCGCCATTTGCGACCCCAAGCCCTGCTGCCATGGCCTGGCCAAGATGCAACCGACCATGCCCAGCAACCGCGGTGGCCAAGACTTGGTGGGTAAATGATGCTTGGACTCTTGGCAGCCGTCTTGGCTCGCAGAAATTCGACCAAGTCCCCTCTCTTGGCATACACTGTATCCCTTCCGCCAAGTCTGACTGACAGCACAAGCAAACCCAACTGAACTGAAGCAGGCGACAGTGATACACAGGCAGGACTCTCAGGCCTCAAAAGTGTCCCCTGGATCCGCCACCGTCTCTGCTCTCTCGCTTGACATATCGACCGCTTCATGACGGCTTGAGATTGCGGTTGATACCTCTTATTCATCCCCCTTTTTTTTGTCTTTTCGACCTGGACAGCTTGTCAACTCCAGTCTCGTCACACAACGAAAACAGCATCAACATCATCATCATCAACAACGAGTTTGTACGACCAAGTACATACAAGGGGAACTGAAGCATCACGGCCACCGCACGGAGCGACATTCAACCAGCAATCGAAACCCCCGTCCCCCGTCTCCCCGTACCCCCGGCAAACTCCCCCAAAAATCCCGATTCCCAAAAAAGTTCAACGGCGGTCGGTCGGCCCCCGGTCCACACACAGTCCCTTCCTCTCCACACACCAAGCAGTCCATGTCCAGGACCCTCCTTGTGGACACCCATACACCCCCCCGGACATTATTCATCCCTCCTTGCTCACTTGATTTCCTCTGTTCCTGTCCAACTTTCTCAGTCTCCAGTTGTGACGCGACCACGCTTTCCTTTTTGCAACCACTTCGACCTTGTTCGGTTCGGCCACTCCTTCGACAGAAACAAACGAGATCAACTGACTGACGACGACGACGACAACGACAACGACTTGTACGGACGGCAGTAAAAAGACGGACACACCAGAGAGACCGCCTGTCGATGCCCCGCCTACGCCTACAGCACCGTCCTCGATAGCGCCCACCCCCCCTTATCCCTAGCCCGTTGGTTCCTATCGGTAGCTCCGCCAGGCCGCGTGTACCTCGATCCGCAACATTTTATGCTCTGCCGGTCCCGTCTCTCCGCTTAACCACTCCCGACTTTCAACTTTTCCGTCTCAGCTCTTTTAATCTCCGGCCGTAATTCTTTCTTCTTCATCTTCCATTTTATTTTATTTTGTTTCTGTCTCTGGCCTCACGTTTTGCTGGTTTGGCACACGGCATCGGACACATCCATAACCCAGGAATCCGAAACAAGCCTGACGACGCCGCTGTCTTGTGCTTCCGAACCTACATACATCGGAGCTGGTCACCACATTACCGTTCTAGCTTCCAGACACACAAACACCGCCTCTTAATATTCAGTAGGATCAGCCACTTGCGTCTCTGGACGTTCATCCCTCAAGATGAGCGCTCAGAGCAAAAAGAACATCAAATGGGTCGAGGTAAGTAGTAGGCATGGCCGTTCCCGTTCCCTCGGCTGCAAGTACCTTGCTGACCACCCTTCTTTCTTTGGACAGGGCCTCCGCGGCATCACCTCGGCCCTCGTTATCTCGACACATCTTGCCCGAGCGCTGGACTTCCCACTCTTCTGGCCGGCCGATGAAAAGGACGGGCCCCCGAGGTTGCTGCAAATTCCATACCTCCGAATTCCCTGGCAGGGCCGTCTCGGCGTTCCCATCTTTGCCTTCCTTACCGGCTTCGTCTGCGCCGCCAAGCCCTTGAAGCTCGCATACCAACAAGGGAACCAGTCGGCCTCCCTCATGACCGTCGCCCGGTCCGCCTTCCGACGACCCCCCAGGCTGGTCCTTCCGGCTGTTATCGCCACCCTCATCAGCTTCGTGCTCTCCATCTTGGGCGCCTACACAGCCTCTAACCGTTGCGACAGCTTTTGGGTTCGCTTCGACGCCCCCGATCCCCTACCTTTGGGCGCCAACTTTCGCCGGCTGTTTAGAGCCCTGCTGGATACCTGGACCACTACCGAGAATGTTTACGACAGACATCAGTGGGCTATGCGCCCCTTGCTGATTGGAGCCTTCCAGGTCTACATTGTCCTCGCTGCCACCATTGGCATGCGCTTCCGCTACCGCATCCTCGTCCACATCCTTTTGGTCGCCTACTGGTTGTTGAACACTGGACCCTTGACTGGTACGCACACCTAATCCCCTCACATGCAATGTGCGCCCGCATAGGTCAACTGACTAACCCTCCGTCCCTGCATGCAGAAACCTTTGGCGCCAACCTCGCCCTCGGCACCCTTCTCGCCGAGCTCTCCCAGCACCGTCCCACCCAGAACTTTATTGCCAAGTACCAGCGCATCCTTTCGTACGTCATCGTGCCCATCCTACTCCTCATCGGTGGCTATGTCGGTTCCTACCCGCACGAGCACGAGGACTGGGCGCCCTGGTCCCTGCGCCTGCACAAGTTCCTCGTCGATCCCGCCGGCGACGGCTCGCGCGGCTCCTTCATTGTGCCTAGGGGGTCCAATGCCGGTCGCCGCACCAGCGCCTTCATGATTCAATGCGTTGCCGTCTCCATCTTTTTGTCGCCCAGCCTGCAGAACCTCCTCTCGCACCGCCTGCTCCTCTGGCTCGGCCACCACTCGTTTGCCGTCTACCTCACCCACGGCACCATTCTTAGAACGTTGGGCATGTGGATCGTCTACGGTATCTCGGGTCAGCCTTGGGTGGACCCCGGAAGGAACGAGGATGGTTCGCCCAAGGAACCCAACTGGTTGCACCCCAAGAGCCGGGGCCACAAGGTGGCTTCGATTATCATTTTCACGGCTGTCACGTACGTTGCTGCGTGGGCGTGGATGAAGTGGGTGGATACCGCGTGCGCCAGGGCGACGCAGTGGTTGGAGAAGAAGGTGTTTGATGATGATGAGGGGGCTGAGGGAGGAAAGGCCGGTGTGGCGGAGAAGGGATATGCGAATGGTGGGCCGAGTAGGGAGCACGCGCAGCCTTTGTTGAACGGCGGAGAGGCGAGGGTGCCTCCTCCTTAGCCCGTATGAGAACATGGCTTGAGTTTTAGATGGGTATGTATCCGTCTGCACAGTCAGAGGAAGTTGAAGGCATGTTTTGGATATTCTACATGATTGATGCGGAGGTTCCCATTGGCTTGGGTCCATTGGGTGAATAATCTCGGCGGAAAGCCGGGATTGTGAGGAGCGCCATTCCCAGCCCTCGCAGTTCGTGGGCTTGAAGGGAAAGCTGAAGCGAATCGTCGATAAAGACCGCTCAGCATTCGGCAGGGAGTAGATAAAGAGAAAATCTACATCACGTACCCGAACCCATGCAGTCAGCCAGCCACACCCGCCCAGCGGTCACGCATCATCATCATTATCATACTAAGAAATAGAGCATGGTGGACACAAGGCCTACCGATCATGTATCATTTCATCTTCCTTTTCTTTTTTTGGGTCTTTTTTCACCTTCGTTTCCTTTTGTGTTGTTGTCTACATAGAGTATGATTCCTGTGTCGGGAGTTGCATTAACATATATTTATACCCAGCTAGCCATCCATATTATTCCGGGGCGACCACCCCAGAAGTCGGTCGGTCGCTGTTGGGGGGAGAGCGGGGATATATTGTTGGATAGGTTTTCAAGTTGGATGGGATGGATGGACAGAGGGAGCAAGCCAGCATGGAGCAGGCAGGCATGGAGGAGGCACGCATGGAGGAGGCAGGCATAGAGGAGGCAGGCATAGAGGAGGGGGAGGAGGAGATACCAATTGGAAGTTTTTTTTCGTTCGATATTGATTCCCCTATCGTTATACCGTGATATTTTGAACATTTTGAGCGGCTCTTTCCCGATCTTTATTTGCTTCCACTCAGTAGAGGCATATAGTTTGGTTGGATCAGCTGCCTACCTATCTATACAGTACTACCCAAGGATCAAGTCCAGTCAGCGGGTGACTGCCGAGTGCCCAGATAAATGAATGGCCAATGAATGTGGCCTAGGGAGCAATGGAAAGAGGGAGGAGAGAGATATGGGTAGCTACATATCGAACGACGATGCCCGATGCATGATGTCCCGCCTCTACCGCTTCCCGATTGACGGATGACGGACAGATGATGGACAGACAAGTGGACAGATGATGAGATGGCGTTTCTCTTCTCCCGCCCACGTATGTAGTCCGCCATGCTGTTCGCCAGGCTGCATGGTGTTGATGTGGATGTGGATGCCGTGTGGATGTCGTGGAACGTTGGAGATCGGGAACTAGCGTAGGTATGTAGATCTAACTGAGCTGTCTGTGTGTAGAAAGCAATGAATAGGTGGTTCGAATCAAACTTGACAAGTTTGTAAGACAAGAATCGGTTTGGAACCAAGGTTCAGAACAATGGGTGATGAGAGAGACCATGTCGTGGTGGTCTGGTGTCCTGGGTGGATGTGGGGGGTGGAAAGGGGTGAGTGATTCCCGAGAAGGAACTAACGAAAAGAAAGGAAAGGGGAAGGAAAAATGTTTGTTGTCTGGATTATTAATGATATATCTCTTCCAGCTTGCCCGCCTTTTAGGTTACCTAGGTAGGGTGGTAGAGGTCGAGGTGGAAATAGCTGTTCTTTCGAACCTTTCAAAACTCGGATTAGGTATGTTCTACAACACCATGACCTCACTACATCCATGCATCTACAAATATTAATACAAGCTGCATGTCATTATCTACAGGACCAGTTTTTGGTCTACCTGCTATCAGTGTCGGTATCAGTATCGGTATCAGTATCGGTATCATTGTCAGTGTCATTGTCAGTATCAGTGTCAGTGTCGTCACCAACGTCAACCTCAATATTAACATCACCCCGTATCACCAGATGTCCAGTCGCGTCATCGTCAAATACCACTGGATAAACTAGATGTTTGGTCTAACCCGGCGCTCGCAGTTCGCACGAACAACACAACCTCAAGGATGAAGGAGAGTGTTTGTTGTTTGCCTCTCACAGACGGAACAAAAACCATCTTGCACCGATGAACATGTCAACACGTCAACACGTCAACACGCGATACTACTCCGGTGCGGCAGTCTCACGTACGGCCCCGCTCCGTTTCCGTTTCCGTTTCTATTTCCGTTCCGGATGGATGCGCATATATGTTCATACCTCCAGCCGATCATGATGACATGCTAAAAGTTCAAGTTGACTGGCAATGGGGGGATACATATACCGCACGGTCGAAAAGAATCCCGTCAGTCATTCATTCAGTCGTTGACGGGAAAAGTTCAGTTTCGAAGGTCCGAAGGCAAGGAACTTGAACTTGAACTTGAACCGGAAAGAACTATCTATCGGAGCCGGCAGTGAGAGGACGGAGATGAATACGGAAAACGTACAGGTAATGAGAGATGGTAGAGATGGGGAGATCGGTGGACTAAAGGTCTGTACCTTAGGCAGGTAAGATGAAGAAGTGAAGATGCCTCCAGTCCTTTTTCTTCTAAATGGGGGATGAACTTCCGTGGTACTGGTAGAGGCAGGCATCTTTGTAGGAAAAACCTGAACAAGGGGTTCAATTTTTCTTTCTTACTTCTTCCAAAGGTCAACCAACATTCTATACTACCTACCTAGGATACTTCTAGGTAAGGTATGTAGGTACTGCTATGATTGATGTAAATCACATTTCCCTTACCTCCCCCCCCCCCTTCTTCGTCACGTCCGTCCTGTCGACATATTGCGTACCTAGGTAGATGGATGCTCCTTGAGCGAAGATATTCCCCGCTCCCTTCCTTACGGATCCAGAACTCATCGTCGCTGCAACGCGATATCACGCTGAAGACTGGACCCGTACCAGGCTCCCGATTTTTTAAGGTAGATAGATAGATAGATGGCAGAAACCTACCTCTAGGTACCTGACAGTGATGATATAGAGCGCCTCTACCTACCTACCTATCCTTCTCTCACCGTTCATCAACCACTCCCATCGATGCGAAACTCCAAGCCTCCCCTCCAGAACCCAGGTTGGTAGGTAAGTTGCCAGACTGCTAGCAGCAGCCCATTCCGTTTTCGTTCCGTTATCGTTCCGTTGGTTCCATTGGTTCCGTTAGTTTCCAACACGCAACTTCAGTCCAGTCTAGTCCTCCTTCTCCTTCTCCTTCTCCTTCTCCTTCTTCTTCTCCTCCTCTTTCTACGTGGGTGACTGTTATCGTACAACTGCTGAAAAAAAATTTTTAAAAAGGGAGAACGATAAAGTAATCGAGTGATGATTTGTGGTGTGAAGGATTGACAACACACTCACTCCCATTCCTTTTTT